ACACGCGAATCGAAAAAGAGTATTCCGCAACATTTTATCAGCTTGTATTTTATTCAGATTGCGGTATCGTCCTATCTGGCTACTTGTATAACGGATAATAAACAAAATACTGAAATAAAAATATCGACGAGTGCTTTAACAGCATCGCTATTTTTAGTCACGATTGTTTTTTTTTTTTTACGAACAATGAGATAAATCTGATAAATATCGGGTCGCCCGTCACAATGTATATACCTGCGGTATTGAAAGCATCGACGTTGTGCTACGTCAATAACCGAACGGAAGATTATTTTTTATGATACACAAAATGATTAACGTAAAACGTTTCAAATAACTATTTTAGTTTGTTTTTCTTATTAATTTATATAATCGAACAAAAAAAAGTATAAAGCAGTGGTGAAGATCCATCAAGAACCGCGAAACTTTATGTAATATATACACATTGATTAACATATATTTAAAATCAATAGCTTACTATATACTATAACGTTAAAGTTAAAAATAATAATGGTTTTTTCAAAATTAATATGTATTTCATACTTGACCAATCTAAAATCGATTTTTTCTTAGCAAAAGTTTGATCAAATACCGTTTTCTTACGCAACTTCTTACAAGTTACTAGTCAATATTGAATATCTTAATGTCAAATTGAAATTCTTTTAAATTTCAATTCAGTTAAAGTTTGAAATTATATGAAGTGCAACTATTTTTATTGCATCTGTTTTTTTTACGAGATTTGATATCTTTCGAAATTAATTTGTAGTAATTAGTAATCATATATGCTTTCAATAATTTATAACTTGAAATTATAAGTTCTTCAACGGATAAAAATGACGAATAAAGTAAACGTAAAAAAAAATGGATTCCAAACGTATGTACAAGGAAGAACTGCAAAAATTGAATGAGAATAGTGTTGGAACTGATCTTGGGAGACTTGGGCTTTGTATAGATTTTAATAATCCTCTGATCCAAAGTGATTTTTCAGGCAGATGAACGAAAGCAGCAGATTTACGTATAATTGAATTTTAATTTGCCCAGAGAGGGAACTATCCTTGCAGAGACAGCCGCGAATATTCAGTCGCTAAACGATAATTGAATCGGATTTCCGAATCCCCGCGATTAAGTCGCTTCCCTCGTCGATTTAACGCTCTTTCCCCCATCCTCTCGTATCTTTTTTTTTGAAGAAGATAGGAATATTTTACCCGAAAGACACCTCGCGCATATTACAGCCGGCGACCGATGCCAATGGCGTGAATGGCTGATGAATCGGACCGAATGAATTTTATCACGTCAATGCGATCCAGCCGCATCCGTCCGCACCATTTGTTCAGCCTTCGCGCAAGACGAATGATTATATATTTTAACACGGAGCTTATACGTACCGCAATTGAAAGCAGCCCGCAGCCGCGGTTTACCGCGTGCAACCCTCCCGGAATTGTAGACCGATGAATTGGCTTCCGGACTACGAATGATGCCGCAGCCGTGGATCGCGCTCCAATTTGCATGGAGCAATATTATTTTATCCTCGAATCCAAGGCTTGCGTAAGCTCGCGCGCGCGCGGGCATCAATATGTAGGATAAAGTTACAGTAACAGTCTCCGATGTTATCATGCAAGCGGAAATTCAAATCTTTTAAGGCATCCTTAAGACGTTATGTTGAATTTTTTTAATTTTTATAAAACTATTAAAGATGGATATTAGAAAGGCAATAAATACATTGTCACTCAAGTCGATTGAAAAACAAATCTTGTTATATATATATATTAATCGTTTCATTTATTATATGTATATATATATAATAAATGAAACTTTTTCTAGCAAACTTTAAGCTTTATTTGCAATATATTCGAATAACAAAATATTTAGACTTGACAAACACTTTCGAATATTTTCGCGTATTGGCATTTCTCATGACAAAATTGTACTTTTGCGAGTTTTAAATGTCTGCTGAAGCTGTCGCTAATGTAACGGATACTGTACGAAACATTTATGCATATATTATGCATTACTGCATTCTAAAATTATGGTAATGTGACATTTTTCAAGTGAAAACATTCCAAGTGCGCAATTTCAACGTGAGACGACGTTATGTGAATATATAATGGTCTCTTTGACACGCACGTTGTCGGCAATATTTGAGAAAAAGGACTCTACGATGAAGATGAACGATATTCGCCGACGTTCGGCGCAATTGTGAATTAAATTATCCAATAATTTTTTACAATTCTAATAGATTTCCGGGGAAAAAACCGTTAATGGACATCGCTGCCCTGGCTGTTCTTAATTAATGAATATCCGATGGCACTAATGTAATTAACGGCATTCGATTAAATGGCATTGCGAACGAAAACCACCGAAATAGTCCCAACGACTGTCCCCGTTTTTCTCGAATTAGCTATGCGACTGTGCTTTCACCGAACAGATGGTGCAACAAAGGAACAAAAATGCGTTATCGTATTAAAATTAATCCATTATTTATGGCTTATCTTCTGACGCAGCCTTGTCTTCTTTATCTCTACAATTGTCTTGCTTTTTCTTACGACTAATTATGAAATGATAGCTACAAGATCTGTAATTTCTCTCTCTCTATCGTGGTACTTGAAAATTAGCTTGAAAATACTTCTCAGGCGTAATCTAAAAATGTATCTTTTATGTATTTAGTTTTTCTCATATACCTACTTACTTATACGCATAATACACATCACAGAGAGCAATTTACGTTCACGTTTATCATATTTCTTGGCCATTTTGTTCTAGTCGCCATGTATCTGAAATATGTTTTTTTCCATGTGCGATTTGCATATAAAGTAGATGCGCGAGAGAGTAGAAATAGAGACTTGTCGTTACTATCAACTGGGTCAACAGGTGACGAGTTTGGCCGCGTTTCAGGTGAGCGAGACTCGTCCTTGGACGAAGTGGTCGTATATGTGGTCTCTTTGAGGATCCTTCGTATTTATGCGAACAAAGCATTTCTATGATCCGAAGCAAATATTCGTGTAGCAATAAACGTTATCTTTAGACAAAAAATTAGTGACTAATGCAGAAAGATACGTTCGTATATTTTACTAAAATAGAACGAAAGATGTATTGATATTAAAATAGAAATTTCTGTGGAGACATATAAGCTCTGGAGAGAAGTGAAACTAACCGATAGAGAATTATGCAAACATGTAATTAGAGCGTATCAAAGCAACATACAATCATCAAACCAAGTTTGTAGCACAAGTGATTCATCTGAGACAATTTTGAGGTCGTAACAGATTAGGTTTAAGCTTGATCGACCGAACAACTACAGCTTAGAACCCGAATATTGTTATTAAACCACCAAATTTAGTTACGATCTCGCCTAGTGTCTATTCAACTAATCCGCCGTAGTAGTATGCACCGTTGATAGCTGCTATACTAAAGTTTTAGTAAATAAAGAAGTATATTTGGATTTCGGCTATTCCCCCGATAGCCGAATCTCTCAGAACCGAGAGCGTGAGTAAATCCGATTTACAAGATAAGCAAAGTTCAAAATGCGCCGCGTATACGTTCTGCGACATAAAGTCATATTTTACATATATTTTTAATTGTAAGATGAATATGGTTATTTTAATGTCACTTTACTTTTTAAAAAAAAGAGATAAACAGATCTTTTGAATTAAATACAAGAAAGTAATATTTATTATTATATTTTGCACATATTCGATGAGTTTGAAACGGCGATATTAGTCTTCAAGTAATTAGCATTGTCCGCTATTTTTCACAATTCTACGAAAATTTATTACGAATTCAGCGTGCAATCGACGTAAACATCATAAGTTTCGTAGAACACTTTATTTTTTTATCTATTAGTATATATGTCTATTTTGTATATATGTGTCATGCATATATATTTTCTAATATACTTTTGCCTAATAAGTTAAATAAAAAACTCAGATTATAAAAAAAATATTGCACGTACTTTCTTAACAAAATATATATAAAATAGATTATTTGAAACGTTTCTTGTAATTGTGCCATATTGAAATAAACATATAATTCTATTTAAATATATCTGCCAGTAAAATATTTGTTACTAAAATATTCGTCAATAATGAGATGAAAATTTGAAACATGCGTTCTATGGCAACGCGATATAAGTGCATTTATTAATATATACGTTGTAAAGTAGAACATGATCGTTTATTTGTTTATCGCGTATGCTATCCCGCCATTAAAATCAGAATTTGCATTTGAATTTTAATGAAAGCTGATAATTTAAATGTAAATTAAAATGCATATTTTACGCTCTTCCAGTTCGGTCGAAACATGCATATCGCTACTTACACGCGAGAAATACCACTCTCGGCATATTAAGACACTTATAGTTTCATACAACACTACTTAACAATTAATAACATAATCGTACATTTTTACAAATTTATATTTATTAAATTATTTTTACGAAATAATTTTCTGTCGAGCATATACTCAATATATAATATATCAATTATATTCAATTTCTCTCGCGATGTACTCGTGCATATGATACGTTTATGCAATATTTAAAAATTTTTAAAACAATATCTGTGTTGTTCACCGATAATGAGATTAAACATTCATACATGATTTAGATCACGTACTGCGGGAGGGACGCAGCAATCAAAATTTGATTGCATGCCTTCTTTTTATACATTGAATGATTTCATTTCATTTGAGAGGCAACACCGCAAGAGTAAACTGTATAACTAACGAATACACAAAGCTCTCTCTCACCGCGGATAAAATATCTGACAATAAAATGTATCTGCATATGACGGAAGCTGTGCATACTTATTAGTTATCATCTGCAGCTGCTATTTATACTAAGAAATTTTTATGTTACTTATAACGTATAGTCAACGGGACAAATGTCCTATGACAAACAAGGGAAAAAGAGATTTTTCTGGCGATAGCGAGTTAGTCATTTTGTGATGCACAAAGAGAGCAAAATGTTAAAAGTTTAATATGCAATTTTGCCTTGTGATTTGTTCTAGGCACTTCTACAAGCTCACGATGTTGCCGGTCACGAGGTTTACGGCGAGGAAGCCACCAGAGTAACGCCACCGCCTCTCCTCACGTATCTGAATGGCGGCGACGATCTCGAAGGACAAAACGGCGATTTAGATGAGAAAATTACTCGCGTTAGACTGGTGCAATTCCAGAAGAACACGGATGAGCCGATGGTGAGTAGCAAGGCAATTGCGAAAATGTGCCGTTTCGAGACGGTGCGAGACGGCATTTTTTATTTAAAAATGTGTGGCATTACAGGAGACTTTGTATGATCTGTAATATAATTTCTACATGAAACGAGAGACAGCAAATATGTATATACACATACACACATTTTTTAAGCAAGATTTACTTGAAATTTTTTAGGAAAAACGTAAGAATAAAATATATCGATATGGAGCAATATGAAAAGTATAAAATTATATTTTGAATATTCTTTTATATTATTGCATAAATAAAAAGAATCTAATAAAAATTATCTGCATCATTATATTTCGAGTAAATAGTATTAGTATAAATATTAAATTTTTACGTACGATGTAACAACAATCTTATTGTCATGACAATTTTAATTTTAAATTTGCATTATTATTTACCATGCACACGACTACAAATTATAAACACGACATTCGCTGTGTTCGAAACACATTATCGTAAAATAACATTTTATTACCGGTGAAACATTACATTTACTATCCTTAAATTTCGTATTTTCCGGTTGCTTTTCAGGGAATCACGTTGAAAATGAATGAGGACGGGCAGTGCTTCGTGGCTCGGATTATGCACGGTGGGATGATCCATAGACAAGCCACTCTTCACGTTGGTGATGAGATCAGAGAGATCAACGGTATACCAGTTCAGAATCAATCCGTTAATGCCTTGCAAAAGATTCTGGTGAGTGTCTGTAAGATTATTCTCGTAACTGCGAGTGGAATTCTTTTAAATTGAACTTCTTTTAAATTGGGTCGTCAAAGTGATTAGATGTTATTTCTTTCACTTGAAATATATCACTTTATACAAGTTTTTATTACGAAATTGATAAGAATTGCCAACTTTTTGAAACGGAATATGACTTCAGTATCGGAAATCATAGATTCGTATAGGTACTTCGTTATTATATACGAAATTTTTATACGAGTGACGCATCACCTTACTCGTAGCCGTAGTTTGTGAAGAGTCGGTCCTCTTCGACTGTTACAGCGGGAGGCACGTGGATCGGTGACTTTCAAGATCGTGCCGTCGTACAGGAGCGCGCCGCCCCCCTGCGAGGTACAAGTAAGACCCAACACCCAAACCCTTCCCCAAAACACTATCGCGTCTAGTAAGCCCACAGCTTCCACGGCCTCCTCGGGCGCGAGCTCTGGAGGCGGTGCGAACAAATCCGGGAAACCGGTGAAAACCTCTGCGGCCACCACGAGCAAGGAGAAGGCGCCTAAGGCTTCGAAGGCTTCCAAGTCTAAGAACGCTTCCTCGTCCACCGAGAGCACGCCTAGACGTCGCTTGAATCCGCTATCGGCTCTACGATCACGAAAGTCTTAAACTCTCCGATCGATCTCTAATTTCAAGTAGCCCGCCCGGTTAGATTGTGGCGTATTCACCAGAATTGCCAGAGACACATCTGCTTCTAGATGTAATGGTAGATCTTCCTCGGGACAGAAATTTAATGCCTTCTTCCAACGACACTATTGAATTAATTGAATTATTGAGATAGTGAAGTTGCTTATAAACCTAGGCCTTATAGAGTAGGTAGTTCTTACGACAGTTAGTAATTATGGTACATAGGTAGAGTTGTTGCAGTTGTAGTAATTATGCATGTTAGACTTTTTTCCAATACGCTTTTAATATTGATTGCGTAATGATTACTTCTCGGAGATGAATTTCTGTAAAATTACAATGCTGTTATAAAAGATCTTTAAGATAGGTGTGTGTTATCGTAATATATATATTTAACGTAAAATATATATATTCAAATATTTTATATATATTTAACATATTAATTGGTTAATTAATTAATTAATTATTTATTTATTTATTCAGTTTTTGAGAAATTATTTACAAGCAATTTTTAAAAATATTTTACTCTTACAAACTATTTATTTTTGTCGATGGAACTGATAAACGTAAATTATTTATCTTGTAAATTTCTTCAAATATTCTCTGGATTATTCAACTTAATCTTCTAGTCGCATCAGGATCATGTTCCTGATATTATTATTGATTATAACCTAAGGACATAATTCGAAGCACGAAGTCGTATATCAATTGATTAAATAGTTTGCCTTAGTTTCCCTTACGATCTTCTAGCTTAACAAGTCATACTTCGACGTTTCTAATGAAGTTTACAATGATAAGCAACTAATAATTCGCATTATATTACATACGTAAGATTATTACGAATAATCATACACGAAGGAAAACTCAGAGAAACAATTAATTCGATTAGATAATTCAAACATGACACACTTTCGTAGAAATGACATTTCATATTTCATAAGTTGGAACGCATTGTACGAGTACTACTTCTAAAGAGCTCACGCAACGTGCGAGAAGTCTCTGCCTATTATCCGTTTCGCGATTAGGAAAGTTTTGGATAATGAACAGAGGGATGTGCGATTAGTTTCTCAATAGTTTGCAGTTCGCATATAGTTTCCTGCGTAATTTCATCCAAGGTAGACCGCGGAGTTTACAAGGAGTTTGTAGGAAGAGACGCGGTTAATAGTGTCCACTTTGCGTTATGTATAAGATAATTTACTGTTAGAGAAAAATTTTTGCGCCGTGTAATCGGCAACGAAGGAAACGAAAAGATAAATGTTTCTAATACAGAAAATTCGGAATTATTTTTTTGCGAATATATATCTCATTGAATTCTAAAAGATCTATTAAAATTTCAAATCTATTTGAAATTAGCTAGCTAGAGTTTATGCGAACTTTGTTTAGGAATAACATTATGAAAAACAATATACAATATTCCTCTTGATGCAATATTTCTATCTTGATATACAATCATTATGACTAATTGATACTTATATAGGATATGTACATGAGATGAGCCTGAGAAATTATGATTTATTAATATGGATGTATTTTTTGATAAAGTTAATATAGATTTTGTCTTTTTTTTTCTAATCAATATAATTAGAAAGATTTCGTGGGTTAGTTAACATCGGAAATATAATAGTATTCTAAATGGGTTATACTTTCTTGGACGACTAAGCTAAATATTAATTTTTTTGTTTTATTAAAAAATTGTTTTATAACTTACATTATATTTTGACATAAAACAGAACTCTATATCAGTATAAAGTTTTTTAATCGGCTTGTCTTTTTAACTTGTTGGAACAAACGAGAATGTTTACGCCTCAGATTTCTGAGATAATGTAACTTGGAACATAGTTTCACTGCTAATCTTCGTTAGCATTGACGAAGGGAACGGAAACTGATATCTGACAGTTTATACATGCCAGCTTAAACGCAATATTCTCGAATGGTTGAATATATTCAGCGACGAAATCTGCTATAGTTCAATGTCCGGTCATATTTGAAGTTTCAGTAATTAGCGCGCGCAGGTTCCATCCGAGGGAACAAGTTCTTAGAGAACGTAGAATTCTCGAAGCAAACGACAAGAACTTTCCTGTTCATGATTTATGAACGTTTGCGTTTTAGACTGATTACAAATACAACGAGTCCGCAAGTACAATTGATAAATTTTTATCTTTCCTTCTTTTCGAGTCACCGCATGTTGGACGCAAGTTTATTTAACTTCTACTATATGTCAATAAATTGATAGATCTGTCAGCGCAGTTTTTTATTTTTATTCTCCAAAACAAACAAATGGAATTGGATAGAATTTTATAAATTGGACTCGTTTAAAGCAAAACCATTGTGAACAGCATTTTTCCCACAAGTTATCGTTTATCGACTGACTGTTGCGGGAATGTAAAAACGAGCAATATCCAATGCTTGATACATGTTATTATATTTGAGTTTTGTGAAAAATAACAATCTTAATATTGTTTCTTATATACAATTCTATTTATATCGATGCATATAAGATAAGGAACAAGTAAAGGAAATATTAATATCAATATTAACATGTTTTTAGATACAATAAACTAATTGTAAGATAACAAGATTCTATTTTAATTATTTTTTTTTATTCTTTATGATAAATCGTTGCTTGATAATCAATTATTTTTTATATTTCTAAATATAGATCTAATTATTTATCTGAATTATTCGAAGATAAATATTTTAACGTAAAAAAGAATATGTAACAAGACTTTAAATTTCTCATCTATTTACTTGATAATTCTATATCAATGATTAAGACCCTATCTTTAAGATACATACTTTAGAATGAGATTTTAATAAAATCGATAATTCTTGGCAAAATCGGCAGTGTCTTTAATTTTTAAAGTGATAATGCTTCTTGATAACAAATTTATGTACATATTTAATAGAAAATATTATATATGCAATTATAAATTATATGTTCATGAAGTAACTATAAAATACTTTTTAGATATTTTAATGAGAGAGTTTAATGTCCAAACCCATAAATTTCTAGCTCTGCTTCTACGAAGCTGGAATCGGTAAAGACGTTTACGTGAATACTTCACCTTATATTCGAAATTACGTTCCAACGTTTAAGCCAAGATGCAAGATAGGATCTTGAGCAATAGTGCACAGTGTGCGTAATCGGCGAAAGCGGAAGTAGAATCGAGATCATACTCGTAGCGCAGTAATTCCGAAGTTAAATCAGAGCGTAATTTTAATCATGTTAATCCGAATTGTCGCAATGCGCGATCTCATTTTATTATCTATAAATTCTGAAGCGAAGAAAGATCTTCGCGTACTATAATTTGTATTTATCGATGATTTCGCCGCGAATTTTTTATCTTTGATTCAACTAAAGTCGCAAAATAGTTTCCACTGCGCATAAATTATTGCCTACTTTCTAAATATTACACGATACGTCGAAATAAATAGGCGACAGGCTGTTTAGTACCTAAATATACAAGTAGATGTAAACGTGGTCGATATTTGCAGAGGTTTTCACCAGTTATCCGTATTATAAGGCATATACACATGCACATAATAGTAATATATAAAATAATTATTAAATCAACTAACCCTTTACTGTACAACAAAGAAAACATTCAGCTATGATGCTGTTTGGCATATCGAGAAATATGACTTATTAACTAACTGACGTTATATTTACACTTGTGTTTATAAAACCAGGAAAATATATTGTTTCCTCTATCACTTTATCATGTCATCTTTCTCAGTATTCAAGCAGTGTCGTGCAAGACAAAAAGATTTCTTTCAGCATAATGGCAAATCGCATAAAATCAAATTAAGGAAACAGAGTTTTTTCCCCGGATCAAGATTTCATTAGGTACAGCTGCTTTTATGTTGTTTGCAAATTTGATTTTGCATCAGTATACGCGTGAAATGATTGCTTCCCCGATCAATCTACGGGATTGATGGAACACTTGACGAAGTAAAAACGATTTTACGTCCGCAATATTTTCAGCTCACAATTCTGCGTCGCGGATTCTGCGTGCTTTTCTAGCACGTTGTATATACTTGAAATTTTACGAAATTGTCAAAGGCCCGTACAATATATGCAGTTACATGTACAGCTCTTTAGATGTACAATACACCCTTCTTCGCGTGTCCACTTGTATAAAGAATGTTTGCCATCTTTAATTGCTTATCTCAAGCCGTATTATGTAGATAACGGATCACCTACGATTGTTGCAATTGTACGGCAATAGGACAATATGCTAGTCGCATGACGTATAACGTTCTCTCTCTTCTTGAGGATTATACATTGCGCTTGCACAAGGACGCTGCAAAATCGGCGATACAGTCGATAAGAAAAATCATCGTCGAGAAGCGATACAAATTTAAACTTGTATGAGTGGTACGTGAAGCACATAATGATGTACTTGATTTAACTGTTATTATATATGAATAACATTCTTTTTACTTTTAGCTGCAAGAAATTTGAATTTTGTCGATTGTGACGTCAATCTTGCAGCGTTGCACATATATATGTCCCGTATAATAGATGGTCCCTGCACTGACCCGTGTTCAAAGTTCACATTAATATCACGGACATTAATTCCGTAATGAGATAAAGCACAACTGGTGATTTGCTCTGATAATATTAACATAAGAAGACGATGCTCGTTCAACTGAGATTAGTCGGATTAATGTTGCAAATGTGAAGGTTGTCATAATCGAGGGTGATATCGTCGGTTAAT